CCCCGGAAGCCCCGGACCTGCCGCCTCCGCCCGACTGGCTGAAGGAGCCGGGCGAGGACCGCGGTTCAGACCCGAGCAAACCCCAGGAACCCTGCTCAGAACCAGAGGAACCGCTGCCCCCACCCCCTGCGTCACTCATTCAAGAGATTCCCCAACCCCCGCCCCAGCTGCCTCCACCACAACACCCTCTGTAGATGGCCAGGATTGATTTCCAGCACACTTCATGTTTTTCTTACATGAAGTATTCTTCATATAACTGCAAAAAGGAGAAGTTGACGCCGGCGAGGACAGTGAGACCACAGCCCAGACATCTCCCCAGCGTTTCTCAACTTCAGCTTGCACAAAAGGGAACAACCTCAAGCAAATATTTTTTAATTTTTAATAATTACCGCCTGAAGCAAATAATTCAAAATATAATATGGATCGTGCCCACCAGTGATTCTGTATTTTGGAGACCGCAGAAAACAGAGCACGCGTACCTCTGTGTGTCGGGATCCGCGTCTGTGTAACACACACATGGAGCTTTCAAGAAGCAACACAGCTCCAGAGGCACCCAGAGCTCCTACAAATTGTTTGTTCTACTCGTCTGTGTAAGTGAATGCAATGAATTCAAGTTAATTTTAATAAAGTTTTCTAATTCTAAGATGGTTTGGTCACTTAAAGCACAACTGAGTATTTGCTTAGACATAAAGCTTCCGATTCAAAACAAAATGGAAATGCCTCAGCCAGCACACGTACCATCTACCCAACAGCTTGGTGACAACGGCTCACAGGTACGCGAAACAAATCCTCCCGACAGTTGTCATTTGCTCTTTACTAATAGCAATGAGATTCCTTTACATCAAACACTGACAGAAATGTTACTGGGGAAGGTAGCTTTCCATGACATCCCTGCAACATGGCAAAGAGTTCGTAGCTTTGAGTTTGCCTGGGGTGGGAATACATTTGTGGATGCTGCATGGAGCACAGGTTTGCATGTCTTACAACAATAAACTTCAAAATCTTATAATTACCACTAAAAATTACAGTCACAAGTTATGCAAATGCAATTCTAGGCTGCTGCGCATACAATGGACACAGGAAGAGATATTTCCAGTTTTTTCTTACCACTGATATCAGTTGTACGATTGCATACGCCTAAAGAATAGCATTCCAGTTATGCAAAGGTGGGGGTTTTTTTTAAGGCTTGTTGCATCACACCATGTTAAAATTAACAGCATTATAAACTATATCCACTCTTACCATATTGTCTGGAGAAATTCAGATACAGATTTCCTAGAAAAATCTGTAAAATCCTACAGGCTGAGCTGTATGATACCTGACAATACGGGGCAGCCTCATCTGAGGAGTAGGAAACTGAACATTTTAAAATTATGACAAGATAATTCTGGCAGCGTAGCTTAAAAAAGCTTCAGATAGGAAGCTTAAATGAACATTAACCTTTATTACAGGAGGAGAGATTAATTGCAGGTAAAAAAGAACACAACTGAACAGGACTTTTTAAACAGGAACACTGAAATGGGATCACAGCTCAAGCTCAAAGAGCGACAGAAATCTCCTTCGGTACCGTTATGTAAGGAACCTCACATGTCATGCTCGGAGGCATTAACACAGCATAAAATACAGACACGGAGAAGTTAACTAATTCAAATTCTAAAACCCAAGTAGTTTATTGAACATGCTCGCTTTGCGATAGATTTGAGTCAGCACCAGCCAGCTCTGCAGTCCTCCCGGGCAGTGAGATCAGGTGGTTGCAGAGCGCCGGCTCCGGCAATACGATGCAGCTGAAGAGGCAAGCACAACCACAGCCAGCAACTGTAGCTACTCTCCAGAACAAGACGACCTCTAAGCTGACATCTTTCACAGAAATGACGTGCTGATATCGCAGGAGAGATTACGGTAAGTTTGTGTTTTTTGTTTCTAATCACAAAAGCCTGCTACCAAATTAGAGACAGAGACAAGAACGGAGTTATTAGTTGATGACAGATGCTTGCACCAGAAATTTGCTGCAGTGTCAGAGATTTCTTACTAACATTAATTCAGCTTCCAAACATGTGCTACCAGCTTTGAGAATGTAATCAACACTGCAATAAGGAAAAACAATAACGTGCATGTTAGCATGAACGTGGAATTTGTGCTTCAAACTCAATTCCTGACAGTTTCAGCTGTATTTTAACCAATTCTGCTTAAGCAAACAGCATGCATGCATGGAGGGGACTGCTAGATTACTGCAGAGATTTGTAAAGCAGATCCAGTTGACAGCCATTTTTTCATCCTGTATAAAAGAACACATTATTCCAAACATAATATAGGCTTGAAATCACTAAAAACAAGAAGCAGACATTGTATAACATTTGGAAGAGACTTGCATTTTCGGAAGAAAGCCCTCATTTGAGCTTGAGGGGGAAAGGGAGATGAAAAAACAAGTCTCATTCTGCCAGACAACACGACAGTCTATGAAGGGATGCTTTGTAAAGTCTCTCTTGAACAATTCTAAAAAGGACCATGCCACAAAGGGGTTTATTGATATTTTCACTTAATTTCTCCTGCAAGTGGTCATCGGAAAGACAACCCTTAGAAAGAAATAAAATATATTACATGGATTTAAAGGGTGTCCTTTTGCTGTCTTTATTTTCAGGCAACAATGGAATACCAGATATTGAACACATCTACCTGTCTGCTGCTCCTTCTCCTTTTCATACCCGCTGTGCTGGGTGTCTGTCCCTCTAACTGTTCATGCTCAGGAAACGACAGGAACGTGGACTGTTCAGGCAGAAACTTCTCTGTGCTGCCACACGGACTCCAAGACAACATTACCTATTTAAATCTCTCCTTTAACCAGTTTGTAGATCTCGATCATCAGCTAACGAGATTCACCAATTTGAGGACCCTTGATATTTCCAATAATTGGCTCAAGAACTTTCAAGTCCTTATGGGAATTATATGCCATAAACAACAACATTAAAGTTCTTCAGAAACTTGACACAGCTTACCAGTGGAACCTCAAAGTGCTCGATGTTTCCAGGAATCTGGTGGAAAGAGCTGTTCTGATCAACAACACACTGAGCAGTCTCAAGTTTCTCAATCTCAGCAGCAACAAACTTTGGACAGTTCCCACCAACATGCCCTACAACATCGAGACGGTGGATCTATCCAACAACTTCCTCTCCCAGATCCTCCCAGGAACGCTGCTGAGGCTACGGCACCTCACCAGCCTCTACCTGCACAACAACAAGTTCACGTACATTCCTGACAAAGCTTTCGACCAGCTCGCTCAGCTGCAAGTGCTCACCCTGTACAACAACCCGTGGGCCTGCCGCGACCGGCAGAACATCCCGTATTTGCTCCGATGGGTGCAGGGAACGGCTGCCCGGGTGCTGGGGGCTCCCTGCGCTAACCACTCGGTGCTCTGGACGGATGCCACCCCGGCTCCGGCGGCTCCCACGGGGACAGGCTCCAGCCCCATGATCAAAGGCATGAAGGCAGCAGACAGAGCTCCTCCTCCAGTGGCAACCGAACCAACCCAAACGCCAAAACTGCACAAACAGTTCAAAGCTAAGGAGGTGACCAGCTCGGCCACCTTGAGCCAAACCGTCCTGCTGAGGAGCACGGACCGGCCGCCGCTCCTCGCCAAACCGTCCTGCTGAGGAGCACGGACCGGCCGCTGCTCCTCTACCCCGAGGGTCTGGCCACGAGGAGGGTCAGCTCCCAGGAAGCAGCAGCCACGCACACCGCCTACGTGGAGGATCCGGCCGAGGGGAACGCCAGCCTGACCGCTGCGACAGCATCATCCACCACGCCCATGACTCTGAGCATCACCAGCGGGATGCCAACAAACTACTCCCGAATGCCCCCGAGCACAACGGGCACCCTGCGGAAGGAGGAACCCACCACAAACCCTCTGAATACTCGCGTGCCCTCCACAGCAAGTACCCATCAGCTATATTTGTTTTATGTCGTGATGCTTAATGCAGTGGCAATGTTTATCGGCTAAGGGCTTGGATCCTGTGACAATTATCCAGTTTGTTCCTGTGATACATAGCTGGGGTTAAGACATCCAGGACAAATAATGAATCAAAATACACAAAATTCAAAGTTCTGACTCTGATCTAAAGAAAATAACAGTTCTTAATTAAAGAAGTGCACACTAATGTCTTGATACTAAGCTGCTACTTATTTTAATATGTCTTAATTGAGTAAAACTAACCTATGATTTTGTTTTTTAAAATGTGCTTATTTTGTATTTAAATTTTTAATTTTACTTGCACAGAATAAAACATCAGAATTTTAAGTACTGATTTTATGTATGATTTTGTCATTAAACAACTGGAAAAAATAGAAGGCCTGTATCATATCTGCATTGTCTTGCTTTACTTGCCAGTGAGCAATTCTTGTAATATAGCAGCACGGATTCTTTGTAAGTTATGATGACATGCAAAAGGAAGGGAAAAAAATAAAGGAACTAAGCCTAGCTGTTTCACTAACCAGAAGTTATTCCTGAAAAAAATCGCTAGCATGTGTATCTATGTTTGCTTCATATGTATTAGGATATTTTAAATACAAAGAACAACAGTTTTGAATTTAGGAATTAAATATGGCAACGCTATGTGTCTGCTAAGAGGGGGTAAACTGAGAAGGCAACAGTCCAGCTTCAGCATGGGAAAAGTGGTAGGGGCTGATTATCTCTTTTTGCTCTTTCTTGACTTAGGGACTGCAGGCAAGTTATTTCTCACTCTCCATGCTTATAAAAAAAAAAAAGATAAAAATAGAGGAAAACACAAGATGTTCAATGCCATGACCCTCTCCAGCAAGGAGCTGTCTACACAGATTAATGAACCAGAAGTCCGTCACTTTATCTCAAGTGACATCCAAAAATATGAAATGTTAATATGTTATGCTTAAAAGAATATCACGAATCAGCCAGAATGCATCAAACTACTACTTTCTGATCAGTAAAGTTAAATATCAGCCAATTTCCAACGTGAGTTATGTAACAAATCAATTCAGCAATTAGTTGTCAAGCTGTCATTGAAACAATCCTTGAATCTTGTGACTTAAAAACCAATTAACTCAGTCCATGGCATTGAACATGCCCAAATGTTGCTTTATAAGGATGAGCATGAATGCTATTCTCCTGGACATCTGCACCACCAGCGAGTAGAAATAGCTGCACGCATGGTTCTGTCCACTCTAGGAAAATAATCCCAATTCCGTGGCAAAGGTACCTGATATACTACAGATGAAGTTTTGCAAACAGCATGAAATGAAAACTGAAGAACAAGTTCACTGAAAAAGTATTATTCACTTAATATTACAGATCTTTAAACAATGTTTTCCATTCATTTCAGGCCATTTAATTTCCAGTTATTGTAGCATGAAGGTGCTGCAAAACCCAGAAAACCTCACTGCGGAGACTGGAGTCCTCTGCCTGTTCCTCCTAGGTGCCGATGAGGGCTGTAGACCATTTACAACTGCTGGTATCAGAGAAATCACAACTTTCCAACTGTGAACAGTATTTCTATAACCAGACATGTGTTCTAATTTCTAACAGTAAATGTTACACAACGAATTTGTACAGTTATTTCATTGGCATTTAAGTAAAAATAAAGTTACGTTTGTATGGAACCGAGTTAGTGACGGTGCTTCTTTTCAAACGAGCACACAAGTGTGAACAGGCAACAGCTTGTGATACAAACCCATTTCAAGCGGCCACTTGGCTCAATCTTCATGTCTTACGGGGGAAAACTGTGGTTAAATCAAATTATATTATTTTGATACTGATGTACTCCTCACATCGTTTATTAAGAACAGTAACCCAGGGTCTGCCCTTCCCCTTCCTGCCCTTCAGGACCTGCAGACACCTCAGGCACATCTCCGTCCGCCAGAACACCGGAGCTCTCTCTCCCTCTCAAAAAAAGACTCTCTGTGTTTAACAGGACACAAAACTTAAAAAAAACCCCCAAAACCCAAAGCCTGACATGTCATATACATTTTAGATAGACAAGAACTAGTTATCGACACCAGGTTTAGACAACCCAGACCACAGACACCACGTGCATGGCACCTGCACCGGCCAGAAGAGCTCCTCATCCACAGCGGGACCAGCAGCCTGAAGGAGTTCCCCACTCGCACGAGTTCCACCTATTTCCCCAGGTTAGCTAAGCTGACATGAGCTGATAAATTCCACTAACTAGGATCAGTATTAAAAACGTCACTGCCCGCAGCTCTCTTTGGACAGGCAACGTGTTCGACTAATTATGAAGCAGCACCAACCTGCTCGCCGCGCTCAGAACGAGGCATTTTCTGGAATTATCTCATTCCTTCAGTTCCACCCCACTGGGCTGAAAGCGGCTTAGCTTGCGAGGTAGGACAGCGATCCCAACATGAGGTGCTATGACTAAACCACCCGAGCAGAGGAAACGCCACGAAGCACCACACGTGTTTTTGCTGCAGAACGCCACACCGGGTGATCACTTCTCCTGCATGCAGAAACATACAGGGAACCAACCCGAAATGCTCTGGGAATGTTTCACCCATCGTGAGACTATTCCAGGAACAGCAACTCTATTAAAAAAACAACAAACTGTTTCCCAGAAGTTGTTTGGGGCAAATCGCGAGCCCTCATACTGAACGACCTGCTGCCCGGACTTCAAAGCCTTCAGCACGCTGACGAAAGCCTGGCAGTGGAAATGGGGCGGTGGGCTTCTGGGAAGCTGGGATACAACAAAAATGCAGATGGGTACAAAAGCCCGATGGCACCCCCGGGTCTAGGGCTGGGCTCTCTACCAAAGCATGCCCGGGGCGGGTGCAAGCAAGAGGGCTCCTTGGAGTGCTTCCAACACAGCAGAATGAAATTTCGGTTTCCTTGTGTTTTTCTGGAACACAAATGAGTTGGAAACGGAGCAGTGAGTAGGCAGGCAAATGTGGGAGTCGTGCACTTGTTGCTTGGCAACAATGAAGGAAAATTGAAATAAAACCAATCGGCAGGGATGGGGACACGGCAGCACTGGTTTGTGGTGTTTTAAAACACGCTGGTCAGTCCGTCCATGATAAATATAAAATTATCTATTCGCAGGGAATTTTTTTTTTCCAAAATAACTATTTAGCATCTCAGGACAAGATTCAAAATACCCAAAAAAGGTCTAGCACACCGTGTAATAGCAACAGGCTTACTTTGAAAGGCTAACATTGCAGTAGGGATACCTGCGGTCTGAAGCAATAACTCAGCGGTTTAGGTTCCTATTAATTAGTTGAGGATCAGCTTTAAAACTTCATGGCAGCACTTCAGGATCAATATTTATTGATCATTTCAGTAACAGTGTAGGGATTAAAAACAGAAAAGCACTGGCTTCAGAACTCAGGTTGTTGCCCAGGAAACAAAATGTGAAGAAAAATGACAGAAGGAATTAAATTTCACAGCAGAAGAAGGATATAAACCGATCCAGATATATCAGTCAAGTGACTCAACAATGCCCTAGCAACAAGATCTCTGCCAAAAAAAGCCCCAAAACTCCGCCCAGGCTGCTGCAAGCTCTCAAACATACCGGCAGCTCCAATCTAAACACTCTTTTCATATTTCGCACCTTAAAGAATGCCACCTAGCTCAGAAGCACACGACAAACACCCCAAACAGGCACCACTTGGCCACATCCCTACCAGCAGAGAAGATGTCAGAGCATCCTCCCAGAGCCCAGCCCCGCTGCCAGCTCTGAAAAGGAGCCTCACGAGAAACCCTGCGGAGTCACACAGCTGCTGCAGAGAAAGCAGGCAACGAAAAGGGGGGCAAGGCAAGCGACATTCCCCCTAGCAGCAGGCTCATGTCAACATATAACAGGGTTTTCATTAAGTGTCCTGGACCTGGATAAAACGTGCAGAAACCTGCTCCTTACCAGCCCTTTCAGCGATGCAGGAACACGTATGTGCCTTGTACCGTGACCACCATGGGTTAGCAGAGATTTTTCATCGTCCTTTGAGGAACTGAGGTTTGTGTTCATCCACAAATCCCTGGCACACAGTTTATAAAGCCATTTTAATGAAAACAGCTGTTCAGATTGCTGAACTGCCAGGAAACTCAGTCAATGATTCAAACTTCAGAATTTCTGTAGAGCTCAACATCACAAAACCAGGGAAACCATCTCCATCCTTCTCAGAACAGGAGATCTGCAGGAGGTCAGAGGCCTCTGGAGCTCGCTCGTGTTTATGTCTCTTTGCACCCCAAAGGCACAACTCAGCAGCAGACAGTTGGCTGACTTTTGAACACACCAGCTGGGGTGATCATAAAGCAGCATGAGAAGGACACCACGGCAAACCTTCACAAACACTTGTCTCCAAACACCTTTCAGATGGCCACGTATGAAAAGGGATTCACTTCCACTCCTGCCTGACCTTCTAGCTCTATTTTCAGTCGTCCACTCCTTTCTGCTGAACTCCACAGTCCTTAAGCACCAGTTACTACATAAAAGGTCACGGCTATCCGCAATGCTTCACCAAGTAAAACAACTTAGAAAGCAGAGTTACGCACAGAATATTTTAAAGTTTCCTAGTATGTGAACGGAACTACATTCATAGCAGTGAGATATACAGAACTAAAGAGTTCCCATTCTAGGAGTTTTCTGTCTAACAGCTACTAGTTAATACAAGAAGGTTCAGAAAGATGAAGATGACATAACTTATTATTACAACATACTTCTGTTGTTGTATATTCAACAACTCATGAATGACGTGGGGGGAATGCCACCACCCCAGTGTTTGCCTTAGAAAAGCAGGAGGTGTCTTACAGAGTCGAAGTATTCCTGAAAGTATATATTCTGCCTTCTTTTTAATCCTAAAAAGAAGCTATTTTGTCTTGTGATGCATACTTTCATGAGTCTTGGAAAAACAAGCAGTTTCTGAAATGACTTTGATGGCATCGAGGGGAGGAAGGGACACGCAGATAGAACGACTCCAGCTGATCCTTCCGATGTACAACAGCCTGACAACTCCTCACGCTTACTC